GAAGTAATAGCTTATTAAACAAGTTGCAAAATGTGACCAGGAAACGAATATAGATTCACTAAAGACGTCATAAAAAGGCGCCAAAATAGTACAGATAAATTTTGAATTTGAATAGAGAGAATATAAAAAGATTTGTAGCGACTGTTGCAGTTTGCTACAACTTTGTCTCAAACGTTCTCTCCGTCATTCAAACGAAAATGTTCACAATGGCTATTTGAGAAGCAAATCCGGGACGTAGATTTCTTAATTTTTTTTTGTAATGTTCTACATAGTTTTGGTTTTTATTCTTTTTAATGTGATGTATGTGTGTGTTGTTGTCGATTTATTTTATTTGTTTACACAATTACGGATTTTGGCTGAATGTTAGCAAAGTCCGTGTCCATAGTACCAAATATTTGACCTAGTTTCTTAAATTCTTTTTTTTTATTGTATTGCGTATTAATTGTGTTATTTTTTAGAGCACAAATAAGTTTTTCCCCGAAAAGCAATATATTATAATTTAGTGATATTTCTTTATATTTTTCCAATTTCCTACATAGAATAGATGTCAACGAGTTATCGTTTCTGTTGCGTGTCTCATTGTTTTTTTACATTTTTGCCAATTTTTCAATATTATATTTACCTTGGTCAGGGATAGCACAATTTTATTTTCATGGGTGATGTAGTTAGCTGCTGTATAATTATGCATGGTAGACAAGCTGGCTGTAGGGCCACAGCAACCATACAGGGTACGAAAAATAAAAAATTGATTTCATTCTTTAATAAATTGTGAAATCCAAAATGGCCTCCAAACGACATAATAATTTGTGTTAAATTGTTTATTTTTAAACGGACTATATTTAGCACTATATTATATACAAACGGTATTACGTAAAATATGTATATTTTTCTCTCTATAGCACAATATGAGTTAAATAAACCTTAGAAAAAAAGTTCAGAAAATTTTACACCGCCACCCGCCGTCGGCGTTCACAAACGACAGCAATAAATGAATGATACGACTATTTTATTAAAACAAGTACATAATAAGTAATATAACAATGAACTTGGGTGTAACTTGAATGTTGTTTGCACACAATGCAACAATTTACATCCAATCGAATTATTTTCACTGCACCAAAACGGATTTTCGAATTTAGTTGTTTGAACTTTAATTTGGTTGTTTAACTTTGAGAATTGTTCTCTATTGATTTAAGTATATATAGTACAATTAAAGCATTTCTCAAGTACAAGGAAAGAAGAAAACTACCTTTCTAAATCAAAATTCAATTGTTATCTATTTATAGCAATTACTTGCTTGGCGGCAGAACATGTAACAATTGAATCGTGACCATATTACTGCGTTCCAATTTTAAAGGGTGCTAGTGAAATTACAGGCACATGAGACTTGGTATATCTCAGGGTGACGGGCGCAGTGGCAGTATGCCTCAAATCTTTGTGATTTAAGGCCCTGAGTGGCACTGCAACAGCTATGAACAAGCGTGTCTCATAACAAAAGGGCAGTCCTGTCACTTGGTATCATAAAAAATTGTTTAGAAGCTTTATTATTTATCGATGGTAACAGATAGATGGACTTCTAAATGTTTCTAACTCAGATCAACACTGATGAAAGAATTTTTATTCGTCATAAATGGACAGGCTAATGTCCAAAGTCATATTGCCTTATTTAAGTGCATAAATATAAATTTACGATTCTCAGAATCATCAGTTTTGAATTTAACAGAGATACCACTGTCAGCTTATTATCAAAATGTCCACAGACTAAACAGCGTGACAGCGGTAAATTTCAACCAAGAAATCACACGCATTGATGCATATCCATAACCGCAGTGACTCTCAGAACGCACCGATACGGAATGGCGCGCGACCAATCGGACATTTTGAATATGGAACATTAAACAGTCGACCTTCATAAATTCGGTTAATAAACGTCAAGAAAGCCAGAAAGACGACGATGAAAAAGTGCATTCGGTTTTTGAATCGTATTTTTTTTTTAGTTTAATGTGTTATGACGTGCTGTGCTTTCAAGGGGGTGTCTTGGACCCCCCTTTGTGTCAATGTAGTCACTTCTCCTACTTGAGTTTTGTTTATGTTAGAACACAATTTATTGTTAAATCTAAATTTAAATCTTAGGCCCCTCCTAAAAGGAACCTTTGTTACAATATTTGTACTTGGTTGGTAATCACAATGAAGCTGTAGTCTAGGCTTAGGAAGGTGTTCCCAACAACATGCACTGGGAATATACAGAGTCAATAGACGTAGTAACCGTGAACATACGGAAGCAGCTACAGTAAAAATGTTTCCTCTGTTTCCAACCTTGGATCACTAGAAGTGTATTCAATAACTCTAAAAAAATCACGTGAATAAATACATATCTGCTAAAGCGCAGTAAGCAACAAAAGGGCATACCCGAATTCAACGAATACAAATAATGTTTTCTACGTTTACTATGAATTTCATTATTGTATGTAACGTTTAGTGAGTCCTAAAACTGGACAAATTAGATTTTAAATTTGACATATTAGAGTTCATATTTGTTTACGGCTCAAAAATACTTATCAGTATAAATATGTATCCCTACAATGATCAGGGATTTTTGGTTTTGAACATTCATAGGTACATAAATATCAAATATGTTCCACCGTAATGTAAAGGTGCATTTATGAATATTTCTGGTACATATGCCAATAAAAGTTTATTCAGCGCGGACTCGTAAGTTTATCGGTCGTAAAACCAAATCCTATTATGGCTTAGTGCGGCTACTGATTTTATGGCGAAATCAACTGTTCTTGTACAATGCGCAAACTAGAGTTGTTTAGGAATTGCTCTTATAAGTACTTATGACAAAATCGATAAGTTCACTGTATGGTAGATGTCTGCTTGGTATAGGTGCAAAGTCCCATAATCTATGAATATGGGTTAAATGAGTGGGCAAGACCAATCAAGAGAACTTTCAGAGTTTCTTACAATGTTTGTCATAATACATACAAAACAAGGAAAAACCGATATCATGGAATGATAAATATGTTACTAAAGGACACCAAAAACGAGTATTATTTTATTTATTTGGAATGTGTAACAAATTGAAAAAAAAAAATATTATAAATCAAAATAAAAAAATATGTAGCGGCCTTGGATTATAAAAGAGAGTTTGCATAGATAATTAAGTTGCGCATACCTGGGTCTCGTAATAGTTATAAACATTTTTCGACATGGAAGTATCATCACGATGGTATTCTTAACCTTAAAATATAATTATGACAATTAATGATGATTTTAGAGCAGAATGGGACTTTTATTTTTTAAATTTAAATCAAGATTACATTATCGATACTCTAATGCCTACTGGTAACAAAACAGTGGTACACTTTCCTAGAGTTGAAACGTTTTGTGTATATTTGTACTGTTTCACCTTGGGATACATTAATCTAAGCATTGAAACTTATTGTTGAAATTTGACCTCAGTGAACAAAAATTGAAAACATTTAGTGTTCGTAGTCCTGTTTTTTCACTAATTATGTTCTTGAAATATTAAAAAATAAACTTTAACAGAATTACGGTTTTTGTTTATCATTTTTTGTTTGTATTATTAAGTGTGCGTAATCAATAGACTCAGAAATGTAAACTTATTTGCTCAGCCGTGTTTCCTAATTACCTTATGTACGTCTAACAATTACTTTTTGCTATTTCATCTCACTTGTGTAATATAAATAGGATAGTGTGAATGTTTGTATGTGTGGATGTTAGTTACTCAGTTGTACGTAGTTAATAGATTTTTAGACGAAATCAGGTTAGTAAAATATCGCAAAGAGACTAGCGTGCTAAATTCGATTATGTGGTGACTATGGTCCAATAGCCTGTTCGTAGAGGAGACAGTATAATATAGTAGCAGTATAGCTCCTTGTGAAAGAGTTCATCCAGGGTAGTACTGCCACCTTACCTATTTCTGCCGCCAAGCAGTATTGTGAGCATACTGTGTTCCGGTTTTGAAGGGTAAGGGCTGGTGAAATTACAGGCACATGGGACTTGTCAATTTATGTCTCAGAGTGACGGGCGCAGTGGCAGTGCCCCTCAGATCTTTGCGATTTAAAGCTCTGAATGGCACTGCAACTGTTATGGATAGGCATGTAGCTTATCATCAGATACACGACTTGTTCGTCCCGTCACTTAATTTTTTTTTTTCAATACTCTCATTATCTGTGGTATATACTATGAGCAACATCGACACGTTACCACCTTAAGGATCCTGTTTGTGTACAGGTACCGGTAGTGAATAGCGAATGTCATATAAAGGCTTGATCATATTTTTATTTAAACAAAAGTTTTTCACAAAAAAAGGCCAAGGCAAGTGACGGCGCTAGCTATAATTTTTAGCATCAAATTTGTTGATATTTGCTCAACTTGGTAATGATTATGAAAATCTTTATGTTTTGTGACTTAGCTATGTGCCTTAAATATATACGAATTATACCGGTATTTCTTTTTATAGATTTGATTTTACGGTTTTGTTGTTACAATGTGAAAAACTGATATTGATCACCCATTTTTAACTTTGACTATGCCTTACCAAATGTTCTTATGCATTTATTCTATTATAACGCGTGTTAAAAAGTATGATGAAGTGCCTTAACGGTATTTAAAGACAGAGTTCCAAAATAAGAACGTTAATTCAAATTCAAATCATCTTGAGAACGAAATATTTATAAAATATCGTGTTTGCATCGTTTGTGTGTGGCCAGCAGTAACAGTATTTAGAGCTAGTGTTCATGAATTGTATCACAGTTCAGAACAAAATGATATTAATTCTTAACTGCCTACGTGGCCGAACGGTTACCTTGACGGACTTCCACGCAGAGGTTGTGTATCCAACATTTATTTCTCTTGTGAGTTTGTGTGTAATTTGTGGTTATCTATGTGTATGTCCATGACACCCGCGACACAGGGTTTCTCTAGTGCGGGTCTATGTTGAGCGTGTCATTATTCTCTTCTTCTTTTTCCAGGACGCGGCGAAGCTGGCGGCGCGATGGCGTGCGCCGGCTGCGAGAAGCCGATCCTCGACAAATTCTTGCTGCACGTGTTGGAGCGCGCGTGGCACGCGGCGTGCGTACGCTGCGCCGACTGCCGCGCGCCACTCGCCGACAAGTGCTACTCTAGGGACAATAAGCTGTTTTGTAGGAATGATTTCTTCAGGTCAGTCACATTAATTGGGTTAGGTCAGCTTGATAAATCACTCTCTTTTGCAGTTCAGTTAAGCTATATTCAGCTTATGAAACAAGCGCGCGTATTACGCTCCGTGTCGAATATCTCGCGGGGCTTGCTAACACGTGGTATTTTAAACTCCCGACGCAAAACAAGCTGTTTAAAGATCATCAGCTATTTTCTCTGTTAGTAAAGGCATCTCAATCACAAAATGAATATTTATTTTACTTCCACCTATCTGATCAATTAGAAATGTAGTATATATACTATGAAAATCCGATGACATTACAACAGCAACAAGGAAAGTCTACAGAGTACTCAGCTCCCCAACTACTTACAGTGGAAATATCGTGTTTGGGCCTTTTGTTTTTTGTTTGTTTGGACGAGTTGTTAGCTTACAGATACTTTATTGACTTTTTCGAGTACATTGCCTTGTATCGAGAGTTTTTAAAATTTAAATTTAAATTTAAGTTTGTGCGAATGATTTCATAAGGAATGAGTTCATTACTCATGCTTTAAAAATTGCACATGTGTGCTGCGTTGATTACTGCGTGTGCTACTCTAGGGTTCATATGCAATGTTTTGCAAACAATCCTCGTTTATTACGTAATCCTTGTTTTACATCACATCGTCTGTTAATAGATAATTGGATACAGAAATTGTCTAGTACCTGCAATTTCACTAGCACTCTTACCCTACTGCTTGCCGGTAGAAATAGGTAAGGTGGTGGTACTTTGTGAAAGAGGCCGTCCAGGGAACGGACGGACTCTTTCACAAGCAGTTGTATTGCTACTTACGGATTGTCGTTCGTTTTGATTTACACGTGGTCGAATAAAATGCGGTAGAGTAGTCAATGAAATGTAGAAAAATGCCACCTGTCGATCAGTAGTCGACAGCCTAGCCAAGAGCTTTTGATACTTTGATTATAGCAATTTTCTAACCGCATTTGGTGCAATAACACTACGAAGCCAAATGACGTGGCGCCGGCGAAAAAAATGGTGCAGGTATAACAGCGGAAAATACTTCACTTTGGACTTCCGCTGATTTAATGATTTTATTTCGGCACTTTTTGGATTCCTTCTACAAGGAACAATATGTAGGTTTCTTATTTTATGAATTGTACTTTAAGTACAGAATAATAGGTGCATCCCAATGTGGGCAACAACGAGCAGGGCGTCTGGGACCATTTTTAGCGTAAATGGCGTTTAAATCACAGTGTAAAGCGTTGCAGGTGACTATTTACGAAGCTCGCTTTTTTGTTGTTAAAATTGACTATGAAGGCTCTTCAGAAAACTCACTATGAATTTTGATTGTTACTAACCTACAGAACCTTACAAGAAACTAAATGTTTGTAAACATTACATTTTTTTGTAAGTTAATGAGTTTATTCGGTGACATTTTAGCTTCCTAACCCTAAGTGACATCATTTCCGCCGGTTGACACCCCGCCATTATTGTATTAGTTCGAATTGACGTTCCAAGTTCAAATTATTTCAACAATTTGCTTCTTTTTGGCTTGATGCAAATTAAATTGTCTGCATTTTTTGCGATCAACGGAAATTTTAACCACTTAATTGTTTTACCGTAATAGTTAAATGTTAAAAAGAAGAATATAATGATTACATTATGTACTTTTAAACAATTTATTTGCTAAACAGTCTCTTTACATCGTTTAATTTTTTTAATAAACGATTTACAACTTTGAGAATAACCATCAAAAACGAAGAGTCGATATTTTTGGTTCGGAAACCATCGTAAATAAACGTTCATTTCGCTCAATATTTAAGTTTTTTTTAAATTGGCGGCAAAGTTCAAAATATGATGTGGCGTGTTGCCAGCATCGACGGCCAAACCGAGTTTATGTTTTATTCATACAGCCTCCATCGTTTATGCAAATGATAGAGGTAATAATTCAATGTGATGATAAAATGATAAAAAAATGTCGGCGAAGTTGCGTTCGCAGTGTACTTTAGTGATATAGGTTAACTGCGTACTATATAGGTACTACGTTGGATAGATTATCGAAATGGTTTTTGATTAACATAACAAAGCGGCGCTCAATAAAAACTTCCGAACATATTTATGACTACATTTTAAAAAATTACGAACATTTCCTAAATTTACTTAATGACCGAAAGAGCAACGAGTCGTTAAGTTGAGCTCATAGCTACTGTTAATCAATTTTTATATTGTGTTTTTATCTGTGACTTTCATAATAAAATGATATTGATGAAATTGTGTTCTGATGTGTAACAGTTCATGACGTCAAATTCCACGAATGTCTAGTCTTGCAAATTTATTCTCTGAATATCTAGTCGGTGTACGGCCAATTCCCTGAATGTATAGTCGTTGCGCGTCCAATTTCCTGAACGTCTAATAGCTGCACATCCAATTCCCTTAACGTATAGTCGCTGCATGTCCAATTCCCGGGATGTCTAGTCGCAGCACGTCCAATTCCCTTAATGTAAAGTCGCTGCTCGTCCAATTCTTTGAATGTTTAGTCGCTGCTCGTCCAATTCCCTGACCTTTTAGTCGGTGTATGCATACGAGTATATGCGAATGCAAACAAAAATAGAAAAAAGTGCCATGCACACATTTAGGAAAGTAACAGAGTTGCTATCTTCCACTCACATTCTGACAATAGACTGTATGAGACTATTTGAATGAATGAATGAATGATTAAGACCCGAGTGAAAGGCTTCCTATGTTTATGTAAATACTATGAAATATCTACCCATGGACTGAAATAGTGTGGGTGTTGCCCAGCAGTCTGTAGAAGAGTGAGACTTGTTTTGCGGATAATGGCATTGAAATCACCAAGCCGCGCCTTCACGTCGGTTGACACTGGACAAGTAAGGCAGCCACAAGAACAACCTAAACCCATTGTTTTATTGTCCCATAGAACTATAAACTGTTGTGTAGAACGATTGGCAAGCTTTGGGAAGGTGAAATGTTTTAAATCAAACAAAACCGCGATTGTACAGTACATATCACAGTCACAATTATTAATTATATTAGTTTTATTTTCTTTTGCATATTTTGAGTATTACACAGTTCATAACTTCTCTAAAATATAACATGGAATGTGTACGTGTGTAACATGCAAGTAATATGTACTTACAAGTACAGTCCCAAAACCGGATACAATAGTATTATCTCCCGAGTATCTGAAAGAGCATTTCAGCTTTCTCAGGTCTCAGGGTAAACCCTGTCGCTCTCTCGTTAGGTCCCAGTTATCTATTCCTTTTTTCAATTCCGGTTTTTATTCTCACTTCTTCACTGTTCATGCGGTCAGACTTTGGAACGCACTTCCTCTTACTTACTGTTCACGAAAGTACATCGTTAGGTACTTTTGAATTGACAGTTAAGGAGCATTATTTATCCACTGTTCCATCCATTTTATAGGTATATACATTATATATACATTATAGGTATATATATACATATAATGAAATGTGTATTTATCTAGTTTATAACAGTTTAATGTTATTAATATTGTATTATATTATTTTGTTTTTTGTGCACTTGAGCCCGTTATTGTAGTTATTTTGCTCTGTATTTAGGTCTGCAGGAAGAAATTTCTTATACAAATAAGGATAACCTTTTGTTTGTGTTTTCCTTTTATTAAATATAATTTGGGGTCTTTCCTGTGCAATAAATAATAATAAGAAAAAGAAAAATTCTTTCATCCGATTGGAGTCGAACTAGTGTTTGTTGCCTCAACGTGGCTATCGTTCTTACCAACTGCGTTACGGATCGAGCAAGTACAATTTTCTCTATGTGTTTGTTGTGGGTCGTTGTATTGGGTGTAAACGGCTTTTTTGCCGTAGTGTCACGTGTGAGAACTCCTTTGAAATTTTCTTCACTCAGTCATGCACCTTTAAGCGATCAAATAATTTGTAAAATTTTACATGTTTGTCAACCTTTTGGTGGTCTGCAGTCGTGTTTGATACGTTTGCCAAATAATGTACGTGTTTGATGGAAATCTTTGTTATACCAAACTTCAGTTTTCGCCTATGCATTCCATATAACTGCTACATTCCATATAACTGTCTCTGTGGCCGAACGGCTATCACGCTGGACTGCCACGCAGAGGTCCCGGGTTCGATTCCCGGGTCGGGAGAAATATTTGTATGGCCCATGTATGGCCTACGTTTATTTCTCTCATGAGTTTGGGTGTAATTTGTTATTGTCTATGTGCGTGTCCATGGCGCTCGCGACACAGGGTTTCCCTAGTGTGGGGCTATGACTGTGTGTGTTATTATTATGATTATTGTATAGTCTGGTCTGTGCGCAATATTTGTTTTAACAAATTTTCGTGGATATGTTTTTCTCATAATTTCAATCATTCTTTAATTACCAACGTATATTTCTTTTTTTTCCTTAATACATGATAATGCCAGAAACTCTTTATCTATTATTCTTATTCAGTGCACAAATTACAAGAGATATGACTGTTAACTATAGTACGGTACGTACGATTGTATAAAGAGATAACAGAGTTTGAACTACATGCAAGTTTGTCAAACTTGTTTGATGGTTTATTTGATCGTTTGCGACATTGTTTTAAGAAAACGTGAAGTTTGAAGGATAAATTTGACAGAGCTTTACCTTATACTGTAATTATTTTGTCTAGTAAATATATTTTTTAAGCATATTACTTCTGATGTCCAATGTCCTACGTTCCATTTCTATATCGGCCTGATCATCTTGGTCGGATATCGGATTTTAATCGCAGTATAGCTCCTTGTAAAAGAGTTGGCCCAGGGAAGTACTGTCACCTTTTTTCTGCCATCAAGCAGTAATGTGACCATTACTGGGTTCCGGTTTTGACGGATAAGGGTGCTGGTGAAATTGCAGGCACTATGGGACTTGTCGACTTATGTCTCAGAATCACGGGCACAGTGGCAGTGCCCCTCAGTTCTTTGTGATTTAATGCTCTGAGTAACACTGGAACTGCTATGGAGAGGCGTGTCGCTTACCACCAGGCGCATGACTTGTTCGTCTCGTCAAAATTGTATACACGATTTACATTAGCACCATCAAACGTGATTATTAAACAATTTCAAGAACTTTATCAGCGGTTGGAGGCCACGTCCGCACACGTCTTGCCATTGTATAACAGCCAAATTCATATATCTAATACATGACGACCCTAAAGACCTCACAGTTAATTATATAACGTTGACATAGGCAGCCGACAGACTGCAAACAAAACGGAATTTATTACAAGCAACATCAGTATATCGTAGAGTAATAGCAAACACCTGCTCGTAATGGACACGAAGATTTTGAACTTTCGAATTATTTATTTATGGTAAATTTTTATTCTTTGCATACACGTCATCGGTTTTGTTACTAAATATTGATCAGGGGAACAAAATTGTAAACGCCCATTCTGATTGCTAATGCGACCCATTTTTCTTGCCTGACATTGGATTATATTGAAATGAAATTATTTTTATTAATATCAGTGGTCGTAGCTTGGCAGTATATATGTGGTAAACCTCTCCGTGATTTATTAAAGTTGATAAAGCGATGTTGCCATTTTTTAAATTATTTTTTTTATTGCAAATACTGCATCGGTAAGATATCGTACTAGAGTCATTCCTTCTTTTCTTTATTTAGTAATGAACTATTGTTATACATTTTGAAGAACAAGGATAACGATATGAAATTGTGTATATCGCTATCCTTGACGTTTCAACATCGCCGCGAAAACGATGAAACAAAAAATGCCAGGTTTTTGTAGTTTAGTTTTTATGTATTTCGTTGTTATTGTTATATCTTTTTATCTTGTTTGTCGCGCTCAATTTCTTCTTTGATAAAATTACTGTGCAGAACTCTCAAAATATTTTAAAATCAGCTGTTAATTGCAGCTGGCCGCAAGGTCGGCCATGTTTGACATTGCGATATCCTTTTGCAGCCATTGGTCGCGGCGCTAGCGGTAATACAAATATGTGACATCACTTTGCTCGCCATGTTAGCTCTTGTGATAAAATTTTAAAATGCCAGTTTATCACTAGAATTTGACAGCTAAATGTGGATATAATAGCTTTATTGTATATAGTAGAGCTCCTTGTGAAAGAGTTATAGATCCTTCGAATTAAAATTCGAATACCTTTTTACGCTCAAATAGGAGAGTTATAAAATTTCACAGAAACATAATTTGTTTCATATAGTTCGTATTATTTTTATTATTCTTTCAGGTGATAAAAACACTTTTGACGTATACGATATTATGTGCATGGATATCCTATAAAGTATTGAATTTTTATCATGCTAATTAAAACCTTTTGTTCCAGACGTTACGGTACAAAATGTAGCGGTTGTGGTCACGGCATATCACCATCGGATTTAGTAAGAAAAGCAAGAGAGAAGGTGTTCCACCTGAATTGCTTCACCTGTCTCGTATGTCGGAAGCAACTGTCCACTGGCGAGGAATTGTATGTACTGGATGACAACAAGTTCATTTGTAAAGAGGATTATTTGGCTGGAAAAGCACCTACTACACATTGTGAGTTATTATTACTTTTAAAACCATTCAATTTTTAGAGGTTAAATGCAGGTACTTTCAATTTTTCTTGTTACAGTTTGCGTTTGAATTATCCTTGAGTTTTCTAAAGTGGCGTCTTTTCTCTTGAATTGATTTTGTATGCAATAGTATACATTTTTTTATTATGGCAATAGATCTTTAACTTTTTGCCAATTTAAGGTTGTTCAAAAGTAAGGAAACAGGATTTTAAGGAAATAAGGTATTTGGAATAAAAGAATTACAAAAGTTGCTAATTATTATAAATATAATAAGTTATATACATATTTTCATATCATTATCAAGAATGAAGGAAGATAAAACATTATAGTCGATATATGAATGTGATAGTAAACAGGGCAACGGGTAGGAAATGGAATTTTCAAGACTGGAAGGGAATTTAGGAAAGAGGAACAATCATAGCAGTTGCAAATAATATACAAATCTCTTAAGATAACGAGAGAAAAATGGCGGATTTTTGAAGTTACAGTTTTTACATAAATTAAATTTATAGTCTATTATTGTGTTGTATTATTACGTTTCGAGTTCCTTTATTATTTGATATGTTTAAGCTGATGAATCTATAGCCAATGCTCAATAAATAAATAATTAAGATAACGATTTGCCGCGTAAAATAGCAGAACCAAATGTCCGAAAATTAAATGATTGAAAAAGAAAAGAAAATCTATGATTTGGCAGTATGCCTAATTAGACATCTTAACCTGTTCCAAAGAACAAACTACTACTACCTTCAGATCGGTTAATGGTAAAACTATTGGAAAATCATTAAAATATAAGCAAAATGTTGATAAGTTGGTTGCATTTTCAATCAGTCGCCAGATGTTGCTCATATGACAAAAGATCGAGTGAAAGGAAACAATTAAATTGCATTGTTATGAAACGAGACAGGTCAATGTCGCCGAAATAGAATCTGTCAACATATAGATTACTTCTGAATTACAAAAGAAAACAAAACAACTTACACTCAAACCATACAATTTTGCGTAATTTCAATGAAACGACATACGCCTAAAGCACGTTCGCAATCGAGTGTTGCCATATGAAAAAATAAATGAGGTCTTTTATTGTCCCTCACTTGAAATCGCTCCGACCCAATCGAAACCGAATAATTACGTTTCTAAAACACGACCACGTCCCCTTCAATTTCTGAACGTGACATGTGAGAATTGCATTCTCAGTTTAAAAGCGGTTTTTTATTGTTTAAGAACGTATCGTGGCCACAATAAAACTTTCGGAGCACCCATTTTGAAATCAGATTTTTCGATCAATACGAACCGTAACCGAATCTGAGAAAAAAAACCTAAACAAAAAGCCAAGGCGTCGGACAAAAAGCCAACCGCATTACACATTAGCCACGTCTCCACGCGGTAGTGCCATAGACATCTTTTTTATTTTTTTATTTACAGCTTTGTCGAAGGCAACACCTTGACGTGAGCGGGAAAAAACTGACGGATTGTAGCAAGAGTCGTGATTTGAAAGGAATTTAAATACATAACGATAGTACAAATATTTTGATTGGGGGCTTGATATCAGGGCTACCCTCGTTTGAAATTTTGAAGAAGGTCCGAAGCAGCTGCTGTTTTCTCTGTTCAATTTGAGGCTTGTTTTGATACGAATAGAACGGGGTCGCACATCAGCGCGTACTGGATTCCTGTATTTCTGGTTTTAGAAGGTTGATTAGCATGTACCCGATCTTAATGTATTCCATTTGTGCTACTGTATCTATTATGGCTCCGAATAACTGCTACTTGTTGGTAGGGTCTTAAGTTTCTATTCAGTACATATTATTATGTAGGTGGCTTCCAGTTTGCTATCACAAATCAGTTGTTAGAGCCGTGGGGAACACGTTGTGATCTCTACCCTTTCACCTCTGAAGGGTATCGAATTGGCACGTTCTTAGTCCCCGATCGCGTAGATAATCAAAATAATTTTCGATTTAAAACGGTAATATTAAGATTTTGTGATTGTGGTCACACGTAACCCTTATCGATAAAAAAATGTGAAATAAACTAAATATACTTGGTGACGAAAACGGTTTACCATGCAGTATACTTCTTTTTCTATAAAAATTTAAAGCGGAACTCAAGGCAATGACTAATTTGTCTCCACTTAGTATAGTTTCAAGCCTGGGAACATTATGATACCTTCGGTCATCAGGGCAACTACAATTAAAAAATAAATTAATCTAAAATGGGAACACTATTGCCACTTCATTATTGAAATAAAATGCTCTATCATCAAATTAGGCGTTAAAATTGGTTTCTGGCTCTTTTATTTTTAAGTACTGATTGTCTTAGAAACTAGATTTAAAAAACGACCTAAATAATTTATTTATTTTTGTATTTAAAAATCGAAAACCTTTTTATTTCTAAATAATTGAGCGTCGAAATAGATTGGAAAGGTTGGCTGTTTGTATAGTGCCCACAACATGTGCTAGCCCGCGGCGCCGGCCGTGTTTGCTCTGCGTAATTGTGTTTAGATATTGTTAAAGTGGAATAATGCTTGTAAATAAACTCTGGACACGCGACGCAATGGAGCGAACAATATGAAATCGAAACTAGTATGAAAATGAAAGGGATGAAATGCCTTTAATCAATTGGCAAACTGGATGGCAACGTGGTCTAGATTGGCAATAAAATAAATCTATTTTTAGAGGCAATGCCTCGCTTTGAATTTCAATTGTGTTTATGTTGTTTGCAAAGTGGCTTTCTACCTATTGATGCGCGATTGTTTTTACTAGACGAAACCGTAAAGGCACATTTATTCGACACGAATTTCATCGCGCTCATCCCGCGCGCCCGCCGCGTTGCCCCCGCGCATCGCCTGCGTGCTTGTAACTGTCATGGCAAAATACGCTCTATGTATTTAGCTTTTACGTTTTAACTTAAATGAGCGCCCCGGACACGCGGGCGAGACTCGTTTGATTTTGGTCTACGCGGCGGCGGAGACCGCGCGGTTTTCATCGAGTTTTGTTTAGTGCAATATGTGCAATGAAATCATCATTATTATCAACGCATTTATACTGCCCACTTCTGGGCACGAGTCACTTCTCAGGCGAGGGGTTAGGTTATGGTCCGCCACGTTGGTCCAGTGCGGCTTGAGGGACTTTACACGTTTTTCGAGAGTTACCAACCTTCTTCGAAGTACAAGTTTCATCACGATGTTTGTCCTTCACCGAAAAGCTCATGGTAATTTTCTAGTTATTTCGAGGAACTGGAAGTTGCGAGTCCGGATTCGAATCCACGGCCTTTGCTTGAGAAGAGGTACGTCAAACCATTAGGCTACCACGGCTTCTATGCAATGTGCAATGAAAAGGCTAACAAAAATATTTCAATATCATACATGCAATACTAATAAACAAACAGTAGTTTTTGTAGCTGTAGAGCTCCTCGTGAAAGAGTTCGTCCAGGGAAGTACTGCCACCTTACCTATTTCTGCCGCCAAGCAGTAATTTTAGTTAATTAGTGGTAAAATTACATGAGACTTGTCAATTTATGTCCCAGGGTGACGGGTGCAGCGGCAGTGCCCCGCAGACCTTTGCGCTTTAAAGCTCTCAGTGGCACTGCTACTGTTAGGCGTGTAGCTTACCATCAGGCGCACGACTTGTTCGTCCCGTCACTTGATATTATATAAAAAAACAAAGATGAAATATGTTATTTTAGCATATACATATTACGTCGTACAAAAAAATGTAGACCGTCGAATTTGTCGTGCTAAATGCGACATCACTATAACGTGTGAAAGTGTCTTTGGATAATCCTATTAATTCTAGAAGCCGCTAATTAATATGTATGTGTCAGCGATAAACGCGGTTATATCGCGTTGTAGAATTTTACGAGCGGTAGCTTTACGTGACCACACATCATACTGTGAGTAACTAGTACACAGATACAAATGATTCTACTTAGGTTCTTATCTATACCTGTTCCAACATTACGTCACACCATATTAGTAGATTAAAATGCACTACTAAGCAAAACCCAAATTGCCGATCTCGAAGAAACCTGTAATTGACTTCTTGGATTTCTCTTTCAGAAAATTATATATTCTAGAGGTTATTCGCTTTGTTGCTATCTGCGATACAAAAGTTTGGTCCTACGTGTGTATAAACAAGAATTACATGCATATCTTTGCATGTTTGAAATTTCATGCTATTTTATTTAAATATTTTTTATTTCTTTGATACTATTTATTGCACAGGAAAATGCACGGATTATATTTAATAAAAGGAAAACATTAACAAAAGGTTCAGCTTATTTGTATAACAAATTTCTTCCTGCAGACCTAAATACAGGACAAAATAACTACAATAATAAACAAACAACAAAATTATGTAGTATAATATAGATAACATTAAACTATTATAAACTAGATAAATACATATTTCGTAATATAATTAATATAGATGGAACAGTACATGATTTGACAAAATTCAAAGTTTAAATTATATAGACTGGCGTTCTAGAAGCGACCTATTTTAAATATACCCAATTCATTTGGAAGATGGTTTAATAACAATGAGACATACAAATCCAATGTAGAAAAAATATTACTTTAAACAATCGATGTCTTATTCACAAGAAAATTTTACACGTTTTTAATACAGCTTTATAATTACAATAAGGCAAAAAATTACTGCGAATAGTTCGCTTATGGGCCAGTTTCCTCCAAAGGTAGGGTATGCAAAACATAACGAACTTCGGGGAAAAAAGCCGTTAACCCTAGCTGTAACAAAAATGAATTGATGTTGTTGGGTCAAATTTTCATGCTTTTTTCGGTCTCTCGACAAAAAAGATTTGTTATTCGCCAAATAATAGTTTTTACGTAACTGTACACATCAAATATCAAAAACTTTTATAGATTTCTAAGAGATGGCGCTACGGCAAAAAGTCGTTAAATATCGAAAACAATAATCTGCAACAAGCACATAGAAAAATTAGTTCGTTCCTTAGCTCAATTGGAAG